GTAAGTCGCTTTGGATAAAAGCGTCTGCTAAATGACTAAATAAAGAAATATCTGTCCTTTCTACCTATCAAGTTCTCCAATGCTGCCTTTGAGGGAGTGATGGCTCTCAGATCTCTGCACCCTGACATCACTAAGGCTGTGTGAGCTAATTTATAATATTAACCAATAGCCAAATAGCAATTGAGTCACTGTTGGAGAAAATTCACATTCATCCTGCTATGCAATGCCCACTTTTTACTATCCAACCAATTCTTGACAAAAAGTCCCGTCCCATATATTTTATCTTGCTGAATATCTAGTTTTACTCTGAAATAAGTCAAATGAACAAACAGCTGACATTAACTTTAATGGTTCTTAAGATTTACTCTAAATGCTTGGATTTGCTTGTTCAGATGGTTGGACACTAGCCGCCATCACCCTGATGCAGTTTGTGCTTCTCCTGGAAGCCAGAAAGGAAAGCAAATAAGAGACAGCACTGCTTTCACCCGCTGCAAGGCAAAGACAAAGAAGGCCAGGAAGGGAGCACTGCTTTGAGATGGTGAGCAGCCCTGTTATTTCCACTCTCACAAATTTAGAATCTTAACACAAACCTAAAAAGTGAAAACATTACAAATGACATTAAATATAAATGGCTACCTTAAGCAATATTCCTCTAGTTCAGTGGTTCATAACCAGGGGGCCAGGGCATACTAACAGCCTCTGCAAACTTTACATTTAATATTTAAATTTTGGCTTTCATCCAAAGCGGCTTACATTGCATTCAAGGTACACATTTTATCAGTTCTTGCTTTCCCTGTGAATCGAACACATGACTTTGGCTTCACTAGTGCATGCACTACTGTTTGAGCTGCAGGAAGGCCATTACTTCCAGGGAGCTTCCAATAAATATTACAATTATTTAAATGTACCTATATTAACAATCTTAAAAAACACCTAAAATAAAGATGTACAACATTAAACTGACACCATATTTTTATTACAACAATAGTAGCAGAGGTACATCCGCTTATATAGAAGGGCCTTTGAATATTGTCTTGGACAAGAGAGACTTGGAGTCCAAAAGGTTGAAACCCACTGGTCTAAAACACAATATTATTGTAACACTGTAAAATTAAGTAAATTTAAAATTAATTATTAGTATTTGCAAGAAAGCTGAGATTAAAGTCAAAGTTCACAAAGGAATTTTTGTTATTTAAAGCCGGACACCAGAAGTCAATTACAAAATGATAACCAGCTACTAAACATTACTAAGATTATACTAAACATTACTAAACAACCAAGTCTTCCAGTCCAGACCCATCTATGGTTTATGTGGTCCACAGAGGTCTTGTAAATGAGACCACATGATTACGGCTCCAGCTATGATCATAAAAATGAGACATTAATCACAGTCCTCAGTATGACAACTAGCCTCTTTCCACATGACTTGCAAATGTAAATAAATTAGAAAGGAGAAAAAAGGGTAAATAACTAGTCTCAAGGGTTCTCTGTTATGGCGGGCCATAAGGTCCAAAAATAAGACTAATAACTGGTTGCGGGAAGTCACTATACTATTGCCAGGAGCTACTGAGTTTGCCACGACTCACCTTCCTCACACGGCGGGCGACTCACTCCCCTCACACGGCGGGCGACTTTGTAAACTCATGGATTTGTGGCCCCGCCCCCACCAGCAGATTCAACCACGGTGCGGGATGCGTAGTATTGTGTTTATTAAACATTATTTTTCAAAGTAGCCTATGAGACCATGATCCGCACTCACAAAATAGTCTTTTTAGCGTTTATTTTATATTAATCACCAATAGGATAAAACACCTCCGCCTGTGTTTTATAGCCTAAAATAAACGCTAAAAAGAAGAATAGAAAATTTCCTGAATTTTCTAAAAGAAAATTAGAGTTTCGAGAGAAGGTAAAAAGCAATACAAAACCAATAATGTACCGGTTATGTTGTCATTCCTTTGCTCTCTAACTGTTATAATAGGCCTAATTATTTAATAATAACTTTAACAGTTAATGATATTTTGAATGTCAGTAACCAGACAGTTGACGGTAGCCAGTGACTTCCATAGTATTTTTTTTTCCTACTATGGAAGTCACTGGCTACGGTCAACTGTCTGGTAACTGACATTCAAAATATCATCTTTTTAGTTCAATAGAAGAAACTCATAGATTTGGAACAACTAGAGGGTAAGTAAATGATGACAGAATTATAATTTAGGTTTAACTATCCCTTGAAATGGATTCTCATGGCATGGCTTTAGTGTTTCGTTTCCAAATTAAGGATGATAATGGACAGTTTTCTTAACGAGTGTTTGGACAAAAATAGTCTGGCAATTAATTGCATATTTATGGAGATTTTTTTATTTAATTTGTCATCATGTACCTGCTGTGCAATATTTTTTAGTCAATTTATTTGCTTTGGTTTGATTTTGTAAAAGCAAAGCACAGCTAATATAATGGCTTTGCTACTTAAGGGGAAACGTTCATTTTATTAAAATTACATAAATAATTTTTGTGTTTTGTTTTTGGGTTTGATAGATCTGAATTTGCTTGATTCATGCAATCCAGTATAGAACTGTGTAATGTGTATTATGTACTATGAAAAAAGGCTCATTCTGAAATGCTTGAGTAAAAAAATACATTTTATGTATTAACATTTTATGTATCAACCTTTGAGCATTTGAACATTTATTTACAACACAAAAATTATAAACTTTACTAGATGTAGTTAGTTATTGCACCATCACAGTATTTGAAAAGAAACGTGAGGAGAGTGAGTCGCCCGCCGTGTGAGGAGAGTGGGTCGCCCGCCGTGTGAGGAGAGTGGGTCGCCCGCCGTGTGAGGGGAGTGGGTCAACCGCCGTGTGAGGGGAGTGAGTCGCCCGCCGTGTGAAATAATTTTTGTGTTTTGTTTTTGGGTTTGATAGATCTGAATTTGCTTGATTCATGCAATCCAGTATAGAACTGTGTAATGTGTATTATGTACTATGAAAAAAGGCTCATTCTGAAATGCTTGAGTAAAAAAATACATTTTATGTATTAACATTTTATGTATCAACCTTTGAGCATTTTAACATTTATTTACAACACAAAAATTATAAACTTTACTAGATGTAGTTAGTTATTGCACCATCACAGTATTTGAAAAGAAACGTGAGGAAAGTGAGTCGCCAGCTGAGGAGAGTGAGTCGCCCGCCGTGTGAGGAAGGTGAGTTGTGGCAAACTCAGTAGCTCCTGGCAATAGTATAGTGACTTCCCGCAACAAGTTATTAGTCTTATTTTTGGACCTTATGGCCCGCCATACTCTGTGATGCATGGAGCAAGAAACCACTGCTCTCCCATAATCTCTATCAAAGACCTTTTCATCAGGAGCTACTCATGAGATTCACTGCTCAAGTGCTTCCACAAGTCCCGAGAGACCACTGTGGATGCGATAAACAACAGTAAATGGTTAAGAAATTGTTTAAGCCCAGGTTTGCAAAGTAATCCCATTGATTTGGGAGTGGAGAAACCTGGCTCAAAGTTACCAATTTAGTCATTGGTGGTCGTACCTCTATTAATGAGCTTACTTCCAGTAACTTCTGTGAGAAATTAAAGTTGCATATTTGCACAGAGAATCAAGAGGTTAATGCTAACCGTAAGTGTTTTTACCTCTTCCAACATGAAAGACTGAATGGTAATACTGTAATTGTGGTCAGGATATGGGTTTGGGCCACTGCCTTGTGGTAAAATACTGTCTGTTATGTTTTTCCAACCTATCCTTTATGTTCCTCCTGGTCTCTTTGTCCTTTAAGGTTTGTTTGTGTGTTTCCATTTTGGCTTTGGCACCGAGTGGTTGAACTAGGTATTGCAGTCCAAATTCAAAATATTGGAGAGGGTTTTTTTTCAACCGGCCCCTCCTCCTCAGACTTGATGCACATGCAGGTTGCCAGATTGACGACACCAACAGGAACGAGCTCACTTGATGATGAATGAAATGAAATATGTTGTGTTTTCCGTCAACTGGCAACCCGGGGTGCCGAAATACAATTGGGTAAACTGGCAGTGGCCGGTTTTCACAAACCAAAACAGAGACCGACATTCCGGCCCGGAACGCACATTTTCAAAGGAGAATAACTGACTGTAGCATTGTTTTTCAGATAAACAAGTATGTTAACTTAGCATTTTTCTTAAATATCTGCAAACATATTATGGTCTTTTTATGCTTAAAAAATTTACATACAGCACCTTTAAGAATGCTGCGACTGACCAATCAAAATCAAGAAATGACAAGTGATGGTGGTGCCAGGAAAAGAGGATTCACGAAGAGCAGGAAAAATGAAAAGTTAAAATAAAAATTGAGACAAATAGTGGTTCTCCAGTCATCAATTTGTTACTGTTATGTACATTCAAAGCAACGCTATAGTAATAGTTTCTTTCAGCAAATGAAAACTGTATGCTCTAAAATTGTGCAATATGTTCTTTGAAAAACAATAGTACTAACAGATCCTGCTATCAGATCCTGCTACCTTCTCCATATCTGGTTCTTAAAGGTATAGTTCACCCAAAAATGAAAATTCTGTCATAATTTACTCAACCTCAAAACTTGTATGACGTTTTTCTTTTGTGGGAAATAAAATGAGTTATTCATAACAGAATGTCCAAGATGCTCTCTTTTTTTTAAAGTGGAATTTTTTAAGGAATAACTGTCGTCTTCGTCCTAAATTTTAGTTTGCTCCTCACACAAAGCTATTATATGGCTTCAGAAGACTTTAGTTATTGTGCAAATAATATGGACTACTTGTATGGTTCTTTTTGGAGCTTTACAGCATCATTTTATGGAAGAAAGCAGCTCAGAGATAGAAAGTCATACAGTTTGGAACAACATGAGAGTTAGTACATGACACCTACATTTGAATTTTCTGCTGAACTATGCTTTAACAATGCTCTTTTAAAAAGGAGAACAGTTATTCATACAATACCTTTCAAAGGTTTGGAGTCAGTAAGATTTTTTTTTTTTTTTTTTAGAACTTAATTTATTCATCAAGGATGCATTAAATTAATCAAAAGTGATAGTACAGTTCTATATTGTTTAAAAACATTCTTTTTCAAATAAATGCTGTTCTTTTGAACTTTTTAATCATTATAGAATCCTGTATAATGTATTATAGTATCCACAAAAATATTAAGCAGCACAACTGTTTTCAACACTGATAATAAGTAATAAGTGATATTTCTTGAGTGCCAAGAAATCATTCAGCATATTAGAATGATTTCTGAAGGATCATGTGACACTGATGACTGGAGTAATGACTGCTGAAAATTCAGCTTTGCCATCACAGGAATAAATTACATTTGAAAAGAAATTAAATGAGAAAATATTTTAAATAGTAATAATATTACACAATATTACTGTTTTACTTTATATCTGATTCAATGAAAGCAGCCTTGGTGAGCAAGAGACTTCTTTCAAAGACATTCAAAAATGACCCCAAACTTTTGAAAGGTAATGTATATTTTGTACAAATACCAAGCTTTTTTCATTCAAATATAAGGGGAATTTTTAATGTGAGAATGGATAGTGAATTAAAAGACATATTTTCTTAGAACAGAAAGGACAATACTAAAATAAATGTACAGACCAAGTGAGCTGGGCTATGAGTGACTTTTATATTATATTATATATTTTATATTATATTCTCTGTCTCCCTCTAGTGATAGTGACATGCAGTTTACACACAATTATAATCAGCTTGATTCATAACAGAGGATGTGCACTGTTTATCAACAAATCCCTTTTTATTATGAGTAACTACTTACCAGCATTTCCTTAGCACCTGTGGCATTGATGACCTTACGGATGACCTCAGGTGGACAAGGAGACCCGGCAGTAATACCTGACAGACACAAAACAGAGAATCTTAGCAGAATACTGATGAAAGTGTTTGCTCAGAAAAACTTGTAATATTAATGTAATCTATCACAACTTCTATTTAGCAATAGATTTGACAAAAGACTGATTGACTTACCACCCTCAACTGATGAAAAATCAATCTGGGCCAGGTCAGGCTGACTAAGCATGTCAATAAACATTGTAGGGGTGCCGTACATAAATGTACACCTGGGTAAACAGTGAATTTTGTGCCAATTGGATTAAATAAATACAGCTCAGATGTTTTTCCAGTTATGCATGATGTACACCACATGACCTTTGATCCTTACATAAATTCTACATGACTGTCCTCTTTATATGTCCCTGTGTCTTTTATTTACAACAAATTCAATTCAATATGGCTGAGGAAAGCGGCACCAAGTACCTCTGAAAGAATATCTTCTATTGCAAAGAACAGATGTGCAACTCTTTCACAATACATCGATTCTTGTTTTGAAGTCTAAAATATTTATCTAATAATTAATGCATCTGAGGGTTAATTAAAATAAATGAATTAAAATTATTAATGACAACATACTTCTCTTTCTCTATTGCCACCAGGTTGGCATGTCCATCATACCCGGTGGATGGGAAAATCACTGTGGTGCCATGCACAGCCATGACCATACCACCACCCACTGAGCCAAAACAGTGATACAACGGCACCGGCAAGCAGATTCGCACATTTTTCTGTAAGAAGAATAAGGTCAAATATCACACATACTGCATCTACCAACCAAGGAAACGTGAAAAAGATTAACCCAGTAACTTTGTTTTGGTAAGCCTTTTTCTGCAAGCGTCTGAAAAAACGAGC